CATTATTACAGCAGAAAAACATTAGCTCTTACGTTTACGAGATATTATATACTAATAAGTTTACAAGGAGCGCATGTAGCGTTCATCAATTAAGCTAGGGTTATAGTTATTGTAATACTTAGATGTAGATGGCAATGGGTAATTGTTTGATATGAAATAATAGTGGTCATACCTTATAGCTTGGTTCGATTTAAATTAAAATGATTTTCTAATGCAAGCAAAATGTTCTAACATGTCTTCAGAGCAACTTCAGCAGGCCCCTAATTGAGCCCTTGAGGGAAGGGAAAGAAGAAAACCTCACTCCAGCAGGGACTCTACTCCGACCCTAAAAAGTAGGAGGCATTTAAATCTCCCCCTCAAGCCCGTGTTCCCGGGGGGTTTGGACTCTAGAGGGAGCACCTACTTTTCTGTTTTGATGGTTTTTGTTCACGCGCTACCTTTAGAGCCTGTGCCCACTCAACCTTTCGCGCCGCACGGCCGGTTCCTCTTCCCATCCGGTGGCTTGCTCCAGCCCAGATCTCGCCACTGCTTGGTAGCCCGCTCCTCTTTCGACACGGCTGCATCCAGGCGAGATTGCTCTCGACAATTTTTCCCTCGGCGAGACTCCTCCGTCCTCGGCGAGGCATCTCCCTGCAAATCACTCCCCCCACAGATCATTCCCCGGCGGCCCTCGTGATTCCCTCCCCACGACTCCTACCCCTCCCGCGGCGGCTCCCCTCCTTTGGTGAGCCCCTCCCTCGCAGCACCGCCTCAGCGACTCTCCTCTTTTGCTGCCGAAACATGACCAAGTTCTCAATTGGGAAGAAGATGAGAAGGAGAACGACGGGTGGGTCGTCCTATGTGTCATTCCCTCTAACAATGAATCTGTGGGCTCTGTTTCGAGGGCTACTACTAGAGTGTAGCCTACAAAATAGAGACCTAAAAAGTAGGAGAAGACCTCAAATAAAATGTAGGAAAAGCCCTCGAATAAAAAGTAGGAGTTATATTTTGAGGGCTATTGCTGGAGTTATTTTATAGCAATGGTACGTTACTGTGCGGCCCATATCAATACATTTCTTGGAGAGCTAACTCCACTCATACTAGCGATCAATATTCGAACAGCAAAAAAAATCTTTTTTGGAAAAAACATATGGCCGCACCGCCGAGGGCATGTGCCCATTCTCTTGCATGCGCCCACCCCTCCCTCATCTCCTTCTCTAGATGTGACGTCACCTTATAAAAAAAGGAAAATATTTATTTTAAATTGTTATGACTTCTGAACGGTGCATCTAATTTCAATCCCGTCTGCACTAGTGTGTTCTACGCGACGAGATGAATAAAACTAGATCTCACTTGCATATGTTTCAAAGATTTTTTTTCTAGTAGCAATTTATGTGTACTAACTTATAACATATAACTTATGCAAAAAACTTAGAAACACAAGAGTTATGAAATACAACTTATTTATGAAAAGTTATTAAACATAAAGGAACGAATTAACTTATGACTTATACCAAAACTTACCAACACAAAGTCGTTTACACACAAAGGAACAAATTAACTTATTACTTATACCAAAACTTAGAAATACAAAAATTATGAAACACAACTTATATACAAAAGTTATCAAACACAACTTATGTACATAAGTTATTCATACAATATGTGTACATAAGTTATTCTATACAACTTGCCAATTAACTTATAACTTATAATAAAACATGAAAACACAAAAATTATTAAACACAACTTATGTACAAAAGTTATCAAACACAACATATATACATAAGTTATTCTATGCAACTTGTGTACATAAGTTATTCTATACAACTTGCTAACACTGCAAAAAAAAATAAAAAAATAAATGAAAGAAGGATAAAATATTAAAAATGAAAACATACTAAAAATCACATAAAGAAAAACTAAATAAAATTGAACAGAAAAAACAAAGAAAGAAGCGCTTGAGTGGGCACATGTAGGAGGAGTGGACAGGAGTGGGCGCATGCAGCAGGAGTGGGCGCATGCAGATAGAATAAAGAAAAAATGAGAAAGAAGAACGGCAGGAGCGGGTCGGACGCGTGCAGCGCGGTGGAGAGTGGTGGCTGCTTTCAAAATGATTGAACGCTCATTGAATCGGAATTGGGAGCTAACTCACCAATATGCTGGTGGATTTCTATGGGTTCCAACCTATATAAGCCTAACAATAGCATATTCTATAAGCAACAACCAAAGGAACCGTTAAGCTCACACTTTTGAATATTTATCAACATATATACCCGACGGTGTCATAATAATTATCGCAACAGCCAAAGGGCTCCATATTGACCGGTGTGCATCACACCTCCAAATAAAAGTGTCCGAACTCTACAACAACGTCCCTGCCCCAGGAGTTTTTTTTAAACGTCCCTGCTCCAGGAGTTTTAAAAAAAAAAAAAAGGAACCCTGCCCTAGGAGTAATAAGTTGATGTTTGGGGGCGGTCGGGAACGATCAAAGCGTCTTTGGAAGGAAGCCCACCGATTTCCACGGCCCAAATGCTCAGAATTAATAGGAACACATTAATTATGACGGGCTTGACGGCCTGCGTGTGAGACGCTCGCTTGGTGTGTGGACCGGATGGGCTACCCTACCAAAGCGGGCCTGATAACCATAGTGGATATAGTTGCCAACCTAATAAGGACAACGAAGGTTTCGTTCTTGGAGAAATGGCATTTGGTTTACATGCCTCATTCTTTTGAGGCACTAAACTAGCAAGTTTGGTATGCAAGGAGGAAAGCTATTCATGAAAATATCTATCAAAGTCCGCTCTCGAAACACCAGTTTGTTTCTAATTTTGTGGCAAACCTCGAGCTCATGAAGCCTCAAGCGAGGGCGTGGCCTGAAGAACACGGAAGCCCGGTTCGGTGGATCCCCTACCGATCAGTTTCATGAAGATCAACGTCGACACTGCTCTGACCAATAATTCGGGAGTCGTCGCAGCAGCTGCGCTTGCAAGAGATGCTGCGGGGAAGTTTGGAACCTGACATGGTGGAAGCAATTGCATGCAAAGAAGACCTAGCGTTTGCTAGTGATCTGGTCCTTCGTGATTTTAGACTATCGTGTGATAATACAGGAGTCATCAGGAGTATCCGGGAAGGGAGCATGGGCTCTTATGGATATATAGTTCAGGAAATTAGAGCTAGATTACGCGAGTTCAATTTTGTTGAATTTGTTCATGAAGGGAGGCAATCAAATTTTGATGCACATGTCTTAGCTAGAAGTAGTGTCTATGATGAACTTGGTAGACATGTTTGGTTTATATCTCTGCCGAATGGCGGCTGTACTTCTTACGAAGCTCAATAAAGATTTTGCTTCCCCTAAAAAAAACTAAACTAGCAAGTGACCGCATAGTTGCAGGAAAAATTATATATTTTTTACCGATATTTGGTACAGAACTTGAGAAGCTTGGGATGGCGGGTTTATTTCTTCTAATACTAATTGGCTACAATTTTATAAGCATTTGATTTGCCTTTTACACAGCTGGTTGCGTAAATACTGTAGAGAAATCGAGCAATTTGGCCCCTAGCCTCCTTCGCTTTGTGTCACGCTCCGCCACTGCTTGGTTCTCACGCTCCAAGCTATCATAATCCATCTTTGCAGGGGGTAGGGTGGACTTTGTGGAAGAATTTGTACAGGCCTTGGCTCTCCAGGCTCCAAAGCGTTGTTGCTAGCTCCGTCTAGTGCTCTTCTCTTTATTATAGATCCAGTCAGTACGATCCGATCCTTTTCTGCTGGGTACTACGAAGTGCAGTGTACAGACGCAACGCAACGGTCAAAGCGGCCTGCCTTATCTTGGAAGGAATATGATCAGACAACTCCACCTCAGGCCTCAGCTCAGTACCTGATCGATGACCCTTATCTCCTACAGGCCGGCCAACAAGACCATGCTGCTATGTTCTTCTCCACATGCATATTCGATATGCCTGCCCAGCTGCCCTGCCCACGCACGAGCAAATATTGCCCTGCCTCTGCCTGCTTGCCAGTTGTGCATGCACGAGTCAACCAGTGTGAACAACTGCACGCAAATCCCTTCCCTGGATGCTCTCTACAAAGGAAAGGAAAGGAAAGGAAAGGAGAAGGCGGCCAAGACAGATCTCTCGCCCAGCCAGTAGCCACCCCAATGATCTGCTGCTTTTTCCTTGTCAAAGGCCAATATTCCTTCCTCTCCTGATGCCCTTGGCAAAGTCGTCGCTCCAGCCCTGCCGCCCAGGGGAGCCGTGATCAATGGCTCCTCAGTATAAATACATGCCTAGGCATGCAATGGAGAGCACCAGCAGTGCACAAGAAGCACGACGAGCGGCAGGCAGAAGAGAGGCCTCGCATGGAAGTAAGAGGCCATCTTTGATAGCCAGGGATGATTTGCCTGTAGCAGCAGCATGCAACCTCTGACTCTGAGCGCTCCTGATCTGACTCTGCATGCTGCCATGGCATGCAATTAGGGGGCGGTGCTTCTACAGTTCTACGGGCAAACCATCCCTGGCTGCTGAGTGCCTCTTACGCTGTCCCATGTCAGGCTTGCTCTTCTCTAGGGTCTCGTTTAGTTGCGCTGATTCGGCGCCAACAAACACACTGTAGCTACAATGTGTTTTGTTTTTATTTGATAATAATTGTTCAATCGTTGACTAATTAGGCTCAAAACGTTCGTCTCACAAAGTACAACAAAACTGTGCAATTAGTTTTGATTTCGTTAATATTTCGTACTCCATGCATGTACCGTAAGTTTGATGTGACGAGGAATCTTCTTTTTGCATAGTACCAAAGTTTAGAATTGGGGGAACTAAACACCCCCTAGCTTTATTTAGGGGCCAACGAAGACCCAAATTATATACCGGTGAGGTATGTTTTCGAGTTGGCTAGAGGGTTTGAAAAAAGTTATAAAACCTTTAGTTATATATATATATATATATATATATGTGTGTGTGTGTGTGTGTTAGGGACGGCATGCATGTACGCTTTTCGATCGTCTCGACAATAGGATAGGAACATGACGGTGGAGTTCATTATGCAGTTCGGCAATTTTTTTTGTCAACGATATCTTGTTTAAATATTTTATGCAGATATATAAAATAAATATAATACACAAATCTTTATTTCAGGATCGGATACTTGCATCGGTGGTGTTGACACGAGTTCGGTCACCATAGTTTGGGCAATGGCGGAACTCAACTGATCCGAAAGCCGCACCAGCTGAAGAAGGTCAGGGCGGCGGTGGGCAACAACAAACACAGGGTGCAGCCGGACGACCTGCCCAAGCTCAGGTACCTCAAGCTGGTGCTGAAGGAGACGCCGCGGCTGCACCCAGCGGCGGTGACGCTTCGATCTGGCTCCCAGGGAGAGCATGCGGCACGTCAAGATCTGCGGATACGACGTGCGTGCCAAGACGAGGATCTGCTGCCCGGCCTTCGATCGGCGCATTTCGAGCTGCTGCCCTTCTCGGCGCTGGACGGAGGATCTGCCCTGGGCTCGCCGCCATGGCAGCCAGGGCAGCTGCTACTATGGAGTTCACGCTGGCCATTCGACTGGGTGCTCCCGGAGGGCGTGGCAGCGGAGGACTTGAGCAGGAAGAGGCCGGGAGGACTCGCCATCAATAAGAAGATCCCGCTCGTGCTTGTTATATATATATATATATATATATATATATATATATATATATATATATATATATATATAAAGAGAGAGAGAGAGAGAGCAGCAGATTTAGTGACTAAAGCGTACGAGGTGTTACATGGAAGTGTCGTATGAGGTGTTTAGATACTAATAAAAAAATAAATTATAGAATCCGTTGGTAATCCGCGAGACGAATTTATTAAGCCTAATTGATTATTCATTAACACATGTTTAATGTAGCACCACGTTGTCAAATCATGAAATAATTAGGCTTAAAAAGTTCGTCTCGCAAAACAATCTCAATCAGTGTATTTAGTTTCATAATTAGTCTATATTTAATACTCTACGTATGTGTCCAAACTCCGATAGGATAGCGACTAAAGTTTATTTTGTGAATAATTAGGGCCTGAAAAGACATCTAAGTACTGGCTACGGAGGATGGATCGGAGACGACGCAATGCAAGTAGTAGTAATAAAAATAATGGATAATTAGGTGTGGTGTTCCTCCCTGGTTATTATTATAATTATTGTATGACTACTACATACATACTGTATTACTTCAGAGACGCATGCTCTCCAAAAGTTTGTGGTAATCAATATGTAATAATATATAAAATGTGTCCTATAATATGTTGTTCACCTGCTTTAATATTTTTCAAATAAAGGAAGCTTTTAATTAAATCCTCGAAGCTTTATTACTCCCTTTGTTTTTTCTAGTTTTGTGCTAAGTCAAACATTTCTATTTTTAACCACCAATTTCTTTAACAAATTATACGGATTAATAACATGAGATTTATGTTTTTAGATTTACTATGAAAAATACTTTCAGGATAAATAGTTCACATGTTGTGAAAGTACATGTTTTTTTTTTAAATTGATGGTCAAAGTTAGAAATGTTTGGCTTAGAACAAACCTAATAATACATATATAAAAATTATGGGAAGAATACATCGACATGATATGAGACCTTGAAAAGGTACTCCCGACTTTGCCTAACAAGAAGCACATGTGGCCACAAGATAAAAATGAGACCGATCTACACATTCTAGTAACTATTAATAATTTGTAGACTAGATCGCCACCCATATGCATGGAAGAAATATCCTTGGCCTCCTGTGCCAGCTGTTTCAAGGCCACCAACCAAGTTTTGATAAGCCTCTTTCTACAAAATAGCCCAACTAAATAGCCGTAAATAACCTGAATAGATAACCTATGCAAGAAAAATATTTTTTTCTTTTCAAAGATGATATATGCCATTTCTGCTAAGCCAAAATGGCCGACAAGTAGCAGCCTTCCCTCGCAGAAGTAATGGTTTTAAATCTTTACTAAATCCTCCTCACGAAACCACCAAACAAGCAAGAAACACTGTAAGATTCACTTAGTCAAGTAGCCACCTAAATAATTGACCAACCGAACAAGCGAAGTGGCGTTCTAAGGACAGGTGTCTAGCTATCTTATCTTTGGGACAAAAAGCAAGACTACCTTGCCATCGCGCTTGGATAGATTAGCCTTTGTCAATATAACTCCTCTTCGTAAGTAGTCGTGAGCTTCTAGATCGACCTCTCAAGTGGATTATGTGGTTAATGATGCCAACTTTGCTTTTGTGACTAACATGTGTGTTTTGAAGAAACATTTTTATGTTGGGTCATAAAGCATGAAGTTAAAGGAGTGTCCTCTGAAAGCATCTAGGCCCTTAGTTTGGTTTCGGTGATTAATGACGACACAAGATTACTGTGACTAATGTGTGTTTTGTAGAGGTAACTTGAGTTAGGTCATGGTAATGGTGATTGATTGGGCAATTATGGTTTTCATGCCTTTGTCGATGGAAATCATTTTGGTTTTCAAAGGATGGACGACAAGGTTAAGCACGGACTAGTTCTAAGTGTCGTTTGACGTTGGAGAGACACTTAGAGTAGTTTAGGACTTTGTTTTTCCTTTGGCCGTACTATTAAGGGGGGTATGAACTAGTAGTGTCGGTGTTTCGAGTAAACACCAATGAGTAAATTTGTATATTGCGCCACTGGCTCGGATGGTGTGCTAAGAGGACACAATGATTATCTTTGGTTCGGGATGAATGTCCTTACGTCCGAGCCGGGCTGCTCGTGTTACCAGACTTTCGAGTTTGTAGTAGGGGGTTACAAAGCTGGCGAGAGGGAGGTGCTCCCAAGTCTCGTGGTTCAATTGCTCGATGCTTCTACTATTCAATCTATCGGTCGATTGATCTCTTGTGGTGTGGTGAACCGATGCCCTTAGTGGGACACCCCTTTCCCTTTATAGGCTAAGGGAAAGCAGGGGTTACAGCCCAAGGGGAAGAGGGAAAAAAGAAAGAGAAATAAGGCTCCTTGGGGTGTGCCATCCTCCTCTTCATGTGGGTCCCTCTGACCCTATAGATTGTGGTGGCGAGCGCGCGCCGCAGGGGTCCTATTGGCAAAGATAATGCGTCGTCGGCGGCGTCGCGCCATTCTTGTCTTCCATCCCATCCGAGCGGAAGGAATGGTCAAAGGGTCCCCTGACAGAGGCCATACGGGGCTAGCGGTACAATGCCGATCAATCGACGTTGGTTGGACCGACGCCGAACGGTGGTCATGCAGGAGTTGGCCGCATGATGTCTGGTCTGCTGACGTGATGGGCGACGTGAGTCTCCCAAAGATGGCCCGACACGACCGCTTGCATTGCATCAGGGCGTGCCGAGACATGCTCGGGCATGCGCCCCATGCCGTAGTGGTTGAAGCGGTTTGGGTCCCACCCTGGGGCCATTGCTTTTGTCCAGTAGCAAATTCGACCCCTAGGGAGCAGGCGGCGGAAATCTCATACCTGGGACCGTGGCGAGATGAATCCTACCCTCGGGGGTCGGACGACATGGAGCCTCTCCCATGGGGCGGGCGAGTCACACCCGCGCCACAGGGTCAAGGAGTCGGAACCCACGCTTGGGGGTCGGATGAGGTAGAAACCTCATCCTCGGAGTAGGAGCCCATGCCTTGGGGTGGGACGGCGTAAAACCTCGTCCTCTCAGAGTCAAACAAGGTGTGGCCTGGCTCCTAGGGTCGAACGAGGTGAAACCTCATCCTTAGAGTCGAACAGGCGTGGCTCGCCCAGGGGGCCTGGACAAGGCCGTAGTTGCGTCTTTAATCATCGGATGAGTCGACACGACGCTCATTAATCCTTTGGCTTGGATACCCGGGTATAGATATCTGACAGTAGCCCTTGAACCTTTGGATGAGTGAGACACTCCTACAAAGGCTTTTTGCGATCCGTCGCTTGAGGGCGCATGGGAGTATTGTTCGTTATTGTGGCTTTGTAGTCTGTCCGCGGTTTCTGCAACCGGAGGTGACTCGTCGTCTGCTCACGACCCGCGTGTTCGATCTCTTTGTGATGCCGAGCCCCGTGCATAGTAGAGGTCCCGGTCGGGGGTCGATTCATCTTGTGATCGTCATCCCTCATGCGTCCATTCGCTAGAACGGAGGGGCTGAGCCGTGATGTGCTTTCCTTGCTGGACAAAGCAAGACGCTCAGTGAGTTGTTAACGGGCTTGTTCGACTGGAGCCCCGGCATCCCCTTCATAGGGGCCCGGTTCGAGATCAGCTGATGACTGACTCCAGATTCTTAGTGGTCGGTCCATATAGTTCTCGGATCCGTTCGACCGGTTCGAGGGCTCGATGCCTTTCTTCGGGGAAAAATCATGGACCTTGCATCATCCAAGACTCGAAACGAGGGTCAGGGCGCCCATGGCGCTTCGCGTGCCTCAGGTATTGGCCACTAGCGGGCCCGTCCTTAACCTCTCCTCACTCTCAGGTGCCCTGGAGCGGCCGTGAACCCACTGGTGGGCCAGCCTCGAACTCCTGGGCATTAAATGGGCCGTGGGAGCGTTTTCAACTCCATATCCCACTTACCTACGGCGGCCCGTAGCCTTTGAAGTCGAACCATCACCTAGCGGATCCTTCGCAGGGAAGATTTGGATAGGCATGCGCTCGTCTCTCGAGGTAGCGATGCAACTGATGCAGCGTGGAACAATGAGGGCACAATCCTCGAAGGAAATGGATCTGGAGAGGCGTGGGGCGCGTTAATTTAGGCAAATGGTTTGCCCCTTGCCCGTTCCGCCCTTACCTTATAAACGGAACCGTCTCTCCCCAGCCTCTATACGTGCAGCCGCATCCTTGCCCCTCCAGTCTTTCTGCCTTTCGCTCTTGAGTTCCGGCCTTCGTTCCCCTGTTTTCGCTCCGCCGCCAGCGAACCTCTCGCTCTCCAACTCTACATCGCCATCCCCATTCCTCGATGGAGCCGTGGCCTCGCTCCGACATTCTCCACGTGTGCATGGAGGGACTAGTTAAGAAGAGCCTTCTCCGTGCAAGGACCGCGGTGATGGAGTGGATCGTACCTAGTGGCGAGGATGAGCCATCGCCACCCGATGGCTACGTCGTCTCCTTTGTCCCCTTCCACGAGCGTGGGCTCGTGACTCCTCCCCACCGATTCTTCCGAGGGCTGCTGCACTACTACGGGCTTAAGCTGCAGCATCTGAATCCCAACAGGATTCAACACATCTCGGCCTTTGTCACGCTGTGCGAGGGGTATTTGGGGATTGAGCCCTACTTTGAGTTGTGGAAGTATTTCTTCACCGTCGAGCTACAAAAGAAGAAGGAGAGGAAGAAGCCAGACCTAGCGGTGCCGATGGGATGTGCGAGCATCCATCTTTGAGGCAGCCGGTCATCGGAGTACACGTCCATCCCATTGTTAAAATCCAACAAGGGGTGGTATAAGCTCTGGTTCTACCTGAGGAATGACGATGCCGCCCCCTGTCGATCTTCTTCAACCGCCAGATTGAGGAGGCACCGGACGCATGGAGGTATGGGCCATCACGAAGGAGCAGAAGAGGCTCGGCGACCTTCTCAAAGCCATCGCGACTTTGAAGGGTCGCGGTCTTCGTGGGACCGGCATCGTTGGAGCATACCATGTCAGGAGGCTAGCGCCGTTGATGGCACGTGCCCTTC